TTCAAGTTTCTTCGGCTTAATTTGGGGTGTTTAGGGGTATTAGAAAAATCGGTTGAGCCTTAGGATCGTGCCTACCTTGTGGTACACCAGTCCCCTTAGGGCGCTTCCTATTTTGATCCCCAATATTTCACATCTGTAGTCTTGCTGGTGCATACCAAGACCACCGATCAAACCATTGAGACACATAGCTAATGCGCAAGCGTAGAGCCGATGAGTGTTCTCTGCCTCAGTTGACATAAGCTTAGAAACAAGATACCCAAGAAGCAGTGGAAAGAGAAGGCGAGAAGTTGTAAACAATACATTCCCCGTCAGAATGATGATAACATCTTTGGCAGAAAGTATATCAAACACACTCCTCCAAAGTTTGGGCCTCTTCCCATTCATCTTGCATTGATGTTTCTCGCTTTCCCAGCTTTTTCGAAGCTTGTCGGTGACATAACGGCCAGAGTTCTCGTCTGACAAGGGTAAAAAGTCATTTTGATCCAAAGGTCTTTGACTGCCCTCTTTAAGGACTCCGTTCATCCAACAATAAAAAAGTGAAGATACAAAACTGACTTTTTTATCTTCATTACCAAAGATTTTCCTGTAACCGCCTTTTGGTGCCATCACTTAAGACCTACAAAATAGTAAGTCATTGTTAGCATGTTCAATGCAAATGGTCAAATGTCTGTGCATGTTGTTCCAGGATTTCAAAACCAACTTAATGTAAGAGTTGTAAATTTACATAAAATACAATAAGTCACGGTGTTTTGTAGAACCTCATGACTATTACATAGCCTAAAATGATATAGCCTAAAACAAAATGGTTAATAATCAGGATACCCGTCATTGAATAAGTTTTCTGCTCAAAGAGTGTCGAGTTTTCCTTTCTCTACTTTTTATGAACGTTTAATTTTCTTGGCATAGTTTGCGTGACAGCGGTTGCTACCCTTGTTTTTGTTTAAAATTTTGCGCGGGAAATTTGCGCTCGGCCGGCCAAAATTGATCACCTTGCTTGGGTGAACCTGTTGAGCTCCAAGCTCCCTCTTATTTGAGGAAGCGGCATGGAACCAACTTTCCGTTCAGAATGGAGTTTCCACAATTTTTCGCCATTCCGATTTCCTTCTAGTCTCCTCTAAGCAAGAACTTGTCGCATTCATGACAAACTTATTAGTCTTAAAAATAAATCAGATCTTTTTTACTTCCATTTAACGTCCACCGAGGCGTAATTAAAATTTCACAAGCGAGAAAACGTAACTTTTTCCCCAGGCCGAAAATAACCGCATGATACTGTAAAAATTGGATGCCTATCCAAGACGATTGCGTGATAGGCCAAGAATGAATTTGTCAGTGTCTGGCGAAATGTAACAGTCGAAATTCTCCAGCCAACAAAGCGCGGTCTGCACGGTTTGTACGGTCTGCACGGTCTGCTCGATCTGCACGGTCTGCAGTCTGCTTTTTAGCATAACATCTCCTGTGATGTAGCCCACTCAATCAAAGCTTTTAGGAAAACCATACATATACACAGCCTGTTATCGACCTTGTAATTTCAACCTCTATGGATGGAATCGTACTGACGATTTCGTGTAAAAAGTATAACGTCTGCAAGTGGTTGTGCCATAGCAATTTGAAGAAGCTGCAACTCTATGTAGCTTACCTTGCAACTTTGTCTCATTAAAGAGGAATTCACCAAGATACCGGTAATATTGCCGTTCCTTGCTATTTGCAAACCATATCTATTGCACGAGCGAATAGATTTTGAGAGATTTCTAAATATAGGAAAAAATACCGACTAGACGATGTTCCTCTATAATAAGACAGATGTCGTATTTTGAAACGAGAGGATCATTAAATTTCCTAAGAGCCCTGTCTTCACCACTTTGAATGAAAGGGGACTTATTTTAAAAGTTTTGAAGGCGCATTTTCAAAATAAATTTCAAAGCTCTGGAGACAGAAAACAGGTTGAAAACGGAGCTTTCGGTAACGCTATGACTAAATGCTAGGTAGCCGGACATGGTCTCCAGAA